AAGAGCATCCTGGTGTGTGTGACAAGAGCATCCTGGTGTGTGTGTGACAAGAGCATCCTGAGTGTGTGTGTGACAAGAGCATCCTGGTGTGTGTGTGACAAGAACATCCAGGTGTGTGTGCGACAAGAGCATCCTGGTGTGTGTGTGACAAGAGCATCCTGAGTGTGTGTGTGACAAGAGCATCCTGAGTGTGTGTGTGACAAGAGCATCCGGGTGTGTGTGTGACAAGAGTGCTCTTGAGGATTTATTTCTGCACCCGTTAGTTCAAACAGGAGGACCGGGTAGCGTGTGACAGTGGGGCTGGCCAGCCGGGCAGGTTGGCAGGACAGGCGTGAGGCGTGTCAGGCTGCTCATGTGGGAGTGCTTTGGGGCTGGGGGCGTGGCTGCTCGGGGTCCGACGTACAAAATACTTCTCGGGGTAATCCCGGAGGCGCAGTAAGCTCTTTGAGACAGTCTTGCGGTCTTGTTCCCACTTGCGTGTGCAGAAGACCATCTCTGTGAAGTACCACATCCAGCCAATGATCGGGACGTAGGCCAGCTCCTTCTTGGCCAGGACTTTGGAGCCCTGAAACAGAGATGGGGGCCCAGGGCCACTTACAGAGATGTTACTAGAAAAAGAGGAGCGGAAATTCTCTCCAAAGGCCTAAGGGGATGGTTCCAGAGCACAAGGAAGCAAGAAGCCACTGACCCTGGAGCCTCCGCACCAGTCAGCCAGAGGCCAAGGTTGTGCTAACTCTGCGTCGTGGGGGGCGGGGGGGGGTTCTTCGTGGGGGTGGGCAGGCATCTGGGCGGCGTCCAGAACAATGAGGGACGTTTAAGGGTCTCGGGGATGCTCAGGTCATTTTCCAAGCTGGTCAGGCAGTTATAACACCAAACTCTTTCCGTAGATCTCACTCAGTCCTCAGTCAAACTTAGTTCTGCCAGCAGGGCAGACATTATTCTCCTTTCACAGACTAGGAAATGGGGTCTGGAGGGTTCCCTGGGTCATAGGGCTGCACAGTGGGGGAGCCTGGAGTTGAGCTCGGGCCACCAGATCATGCTGGGGCTGTCCACCCATCCCCTCCCTGGCTCATCTCTAAGGCTGGACGCCCGCCTGAGACTGCCCGAGGCTGGCTCAAGATGCAGGGACTTGGCCCACCAACAGGCTGGCCCCTGGGGCTGCTCGGCATCGGCCCCTACCCAGCTGGGCCAGACTCCACGGCCTGCGCCGGCCTGGAGAAGACCAGGGATCCGGGGCACTGGGGGGGCAGGAGAGACCCCAAAACTGCTTTTCATCTAGTGGGTTGGGCTCTATATTTTTCACCCTGAATTTTGGAATTGGCCAAGATACTCTCTGAGATGGCTGTCATTGGTCGACGGCGCAGGTGACAGGGGCAGTGATCTGGACAGTCAGGCAAGCTTAGCTGATGCTCTTGGCGACAACTGTCTAACTTAGGCCCTGAACCTAGGAGGCCTGTCGCGTCCGCAGCAACGACGCAGCTGCAGCTCGGTGAAGAGCGACGGGCCGCACCCCTAGCCACCTGCACGACTGCGCGGAATGGAGAAGGGCATGAACGACCGCTTGCTCCCTTTATGTTAAAAAACCCCAACAATAAACATCTTCCGCCGCGCTGGGAAAGACAAAGCAAAGACACCTTTCAGGTTTAGTGTCTCCGTGTTTTGATGGGTTTTGTTTCTGTTATTCCCACAGAGCCAACATGCAAATTCTCTCTCGAAGAGAACCAAGCCATCAAATCCGGGGCCTGACCCCAGAGGACCTGGAGGCCAGTCCCCGTGGGTTCGAGACCTCACCGTACCTGGGGGGAGGGCTTCCTGCGTGCCAGGCACAGGCGATGCACGTATATAAATTCTATTCCATTTGAAATCAAAAGGACTAGATACCCCCATTTTATAGATAATCAAACTGAAGCTCAGAGATGTTAAGTAACCTGCCCAGAATCACGGAGCTGACAGCTGGGGAAGCGGAGACTTTCAGCCAGGTGGCCTGCCTCAGGGCACAGTCCATGAGAAACGTTCACGCCTACCAAGGCATGGGGCCAGACATGGAGGGCTGCCTACCCAACAGCCACTGTCCCGTCCACTTTCTCTTCCAGCCTCTGTTCCATTCCAAAGGCAACATGCTCGGGCTCTGGGGGGTAACCGTGAGTGACGTCAACCCAGCCTGGGGTCCCCCGGGCCTCTTAGCCTAGTGTGGGCCTCTGACCCAGTTCTGCTGAGATGGCTCAGGGGTCTGCTAGGGTGCACGGGTTCTGGGGCTTCTGGGAAGATTTTGCTCCACGACAAAAAGAGAGACGGCCAGGAGGCCCGGCCATTTTTTCTGCCATGAACATGGTTGCTGAGTGTGTCACGGCTTTGACATCACGTTGTGACCCTGAGACAACAGGCTAGAAATGCTGAGGCCACTGGAGCCACCGCGCCAACCCGGGAGGTATCTGGCTACACTATCATCTGAGGAACAGAATGTCTTCATGGCCCAAGCCCCGGGGTCAGGGTTTCTGTCCATCTTGAGCTGACAAAGGCCTGTGACGGAGCATCAGTCGCTTCACTCCTAGAAAACTTTTTGCTTTTCAACATGGTGTTACTTTAAATCCTCAAAGCATGAACTAATTACTCTGACTGGTGCTTTCTTGTGCTAAGTGAGAAGGAAGTGCCTGTCACTCAGAACACAAAACCAAACTGCCTGGGGCATCACCACTCTGCCCATAGGAGCCATTGAAAAGCCTATCAACGTGTGTCCACTGCCAGGTTTCAGGTCATGCAGGAGGCCCCTTCGGCCTTCCCTCAACCCCCTCCTCTTGTCAGCAGGGATGTCCCCATGCTCTCTGCTTCTGAGCCTCAGTTAACTCCTTACTCACGGCTTGTGAGATGAAAACAAGATAGAAAATCCTCACCAACGATCTCAATTTACCTTCTCAGTAGGTTAGGACTACGTATAAAAATTACATATTCCTGAACTCATTCCAAAAATACTTTGCGGCAACATGAAGGGATTCTAAAAGATTATCTGTTCTATAACCAAGAAGGGACTCATATACTGTAAGGTAGCAGCCACTGGGTCTAGGAAGGTGAGTGGCCCCATGCGGTCAATCCCAGCTGTCTGGTGGGGAAAGTACTCTCATGGGTATTTCCTATTAATGGAACTATCCCACCAGACCCAAATGGGTCTTAGTGGTTGGCTTTTGATAACCTAATGCTAAGAGGAAACGGAACTTTGACAGTGATGTGGGATCTATGTGTAGACCAAAGAGATGAGCTCAAGAGTCTACATGTCCATCGCTGTCTTACTGTGTTGGAGGGAGCACTGCAAATCATCTAAATGCCCCTCAGGAGAAGAGCTCAATGAATTAGAGTACATACGACAGACCGTGCATGCAGTACACAATGTGATACTACAGAGCAGTTACTGTAGCCTGTGAGCCAAAGCAGCTCCACCACCTGTTTTTATAAATAAAGTTTTATTGGAACACCGCCACTCTCTTTCGGGTACACACTGCCGATGGTTACTTTTACGCTGCAACAGCTGAGCTGGATAGTTGTGACCGAAGCAGTATGGCCCACAAAGCCGAAAATATTCCCTATCCTGCCAGTGACAAAGTTTGTCAACCTTTGATTTAGAGCCACTAAAATTTGTTTCCTACAAATATTTAATAGCTGGGGAAATGCTTATTATATAAAACTAAATTTTTAAAAGGTCTGGAATCAAAGCTGAGTCTCGAGTCTGATTATGACTACATGAAGAAAGAAAAACAGGAAAAAGCAGCTCTGGGTGAGTGAGTGGTCAAATAAGAAGCGATTTTTTTTTTATTTTATTAGATTTTCCTGTTTTTTATCAACAAAATATTTTGCAGCGTTCCTCTAACAATGCCCCTTTTAAGAAGTAGTTGACATCAGCACATTTCAACCATTTGCTTCTGGAACATGAGTAAGACTGGATCGAAACAGCCTATTTGATGATGATGATCAAAAGGAACAGAGGAGATATTTCTGTTTTTATGGTGAATTAATACATCTTTCAACTTTAAAGTTCTGGATGTTATCATTAGGCCTAGACCTTGATGTTGACTATGTTTATTTGATATAAGAAATGTTTTAAAATATTAAGGTAGAAACTTTTGCCTTTCAAATAAAAGATCCTTTACTTGATATCTTTTCCTCAGCAGGGATAACAGGATTTGGAAAGCTTTGAAATCAGTCCTGATTTTGATCAGGCTCTACCACGGCCCAGCTGTGTGACTTTGGTCTAGAGACTTAAACTTCCCGAGCCTCAATTTTCCCAGCTGTACTATGAGGAAAGGAATACTTACCTCAAAGTGTTGCTGTAAAGATTTAATAACATATGGGAACATATACAAAAGTGTGGAGTTGCGAACCTGACAACAGGTGTTCAATAATGTATAGCTATTATTACTACCACAGAGTAAGCACAGGGGCTAAACGTCCCTTTCAATTCAGCCCATTTCCTAAACCATGCTTTAGCATATGGTGATAACAAAAGTTTGCAGGTGTTCCAGCACTGCCTCGCAGGCAGTGTGCTCAGAGATTTACAGGAGTTCACTCACTTAAGACCAACAGACTAGAAACTTACTACTCAAATATGCTTACAGTCCTCCAGGAAACTCAATCTGCCATCAATATCATGACCCTCCCAGGCCAAGCAAGGGTTTCCATGTGTGGATGGTAATGTCTTCAGGAAAGAATGTATAAAAACAGTTATCAATTTCATTTATTCTGGATTTATTTTGAGGGTAGATCTGAGAGGATTTACTGATGATTTAGACTGACTACAGGCCCATCTAGACACTGGCATGTCTGGAAAATAAAAAATGTTCATAGGAAATGCAACTTCCTATGAGGAATCCACAACTGCAAGGACCTGGCCATTGCTGGTAGTTGTAGGGAGTTGCTGACATGGTATCACATTCTACAGTTAGTTAAAAGTTTATGAAACTTTTGAGTGTGTGTGTGTGTGTGTGTGTGTGAGGTATGTGTGTGTGAGATATGTGTGTGTGAGAGCTAGTATCTGTGGAGAGTGTGTGTATGTGTGTGTGATTGTGTGAGAAAGTGTCTATGAGAGAATTTTATGTGTAGAAAGTGTGTGATTGAGTGTGTATGAGTGTGTGTGTGAGAGGGAGTGTGTGTGATAGACTGTGTGTGTGAGAGTATGTGTGTATGTGTGTGAGAGAATGTGTGTGTGAGAGAGACTATATGTGTGTAAAAAGAGAGACTGTGAGTGTGAAAGAGGGTGAGTGTGTATGTGAGAGGGTGTCTGTGCATGAAAGAGACTGTGTGTGGAGAGAGTTTGTGTGAGAGAGACTGTGAGAGTGAGTGTGTATGTGTGAGACTGTGTGTGTAGACAGACTTGAGTGTGTATGTGAGAGTGTTTGTGTGAGAGAAAGGGTGTGTGTGGAGAGAGTGTATGAGAGACTGTGTGTGTGGAGAGAGACTATGTGAGAATGTGTGTGTCTGAGAGAGAAGGTGTGTATGTGTAGAGAGTGTGTGTATGAGAGAGAAAGGGTGTGTGTGTGTGTGTGTGTGTGTGTGTGTGTGTAAGAGAGCGAGGGAGAG